AAGCATATATATAGCTATGCCTGTATTCACACGCAGATTGAAGCCGCCGGCTCAAGTTTATGCTCAGACTATACTTATGTTAGTGGATGCACTGCGCTCAGATTTTCCTACACCAATGAGTATGCCATTTTCTTACAAAAACTCGTGCAGTAGACTTAAATTGAGAGTCAATATACCTACCGTGACTATGCCTCGCCTTAAAAGCCTAACAACTGGTACCGTTTCCAACTTCATTGACATCATCCTAAACATTGGTCATGTCGAACAGCTGTCAGATTCACTACTGCATCGCCTAAAAGAACGTAATGAAACTACGGTTTTCGCTGGTGATCGCACGTGGATAAGCCTATTCCCCAAACAATTTAAACGCTCTACAGCTAATTTGGATTCATTTTTTGTAAACGACTTTTTTGAGGTAGGTATATAAATATGTACACTACGGCGAGTATTTTTGTATGTTTGAAACGTTAGCCATCCTATGCGTAGGGCGACAAGAATGTTACCGAGGTACTAACTAATGAGCTTCAGCAAACAGATTGGATGTTGTTAGTGTTACATTATCTAGGTTTGGACCATGTTGGACATGTAGAAGGCAGTGAAAGTCCAAAAATTCCATTAAAGTTAAATGAAATGGATGAAGTCGTGCAAAAAGTTTCTACAACAAAAGTATGTAATAATCAAATCCAATTTTTATTGATGGAAATTGATTTACAATTTGATAAAAAGAGCTTTCACAGGCAGCTACTCCTATTGACTGGTGACCATGGTATGAAGGATGGGGGTGGACATGGAGGCAGCACTTATGGCGAAATGTATGTGCCCTTATTTGTATTCAAGGAAAACTGTAGCACTTCAAGGTTTGCATAAAACATATTTAATTATGAAAATTAGTTAATTTAAAAATTTTAGTATCAATTCTAAAGAGTATCATCAAATTGACGTAGCACCTACATTAGCATTATTGTGGTCTATAGAAATACCACCAATGTCTATCGGTTGTTTGATTCCTGAGCTCTTATCTGACCTATCTTTCGAAGATCAACTGTACGCGTATTATTACAATGCTTTGCATTTAGTGCGGAAAGTTGAGAGAAAATTCGGTCAAAAATATATGCAGTCCAGTTGTGAGTATACTTCTTCCACCACTAAATTTATTTGCTTATGGTGTGTTTTTAAAAAATTTCAGCTAAAAGAAAATGGTTTGAACATGCCAAGTCAGCGCATAAACGTTTCCTTTATCTCAAACGAAATGAAAACTTTGGCAATGCATTTATTTTCGAAGATGCCAAAGTGCATTATTTACGGGTGTCACGGGAAATTTCTGAAAAATTATCCGACTCTTTGGTGCGATTCGACTATGGACTCATTACCATAGGACTAATGCTAACCACATTGGTAGTGAATAAAAATAAACGTGAATATGTCAAGCATTTTTTTATGTAAAATTTTTTTACTACTTCGTTTTAGGTGGTTTTACAAACACTGGTGATATTTTACAATATAAAGGAGCACAATTTTATTAACGGAAAATGCACATTCCTTGGCGTTATTGCAATTGCCGTATGCATATATAAATGGTGTTACCTCCAACGTTACCTTACTGCTATTGGCACTGCAAGCAACTTTGGGCTTTTGCTGGCTATAGTGACACTCGTTTACTTCATAGTAAATATAGTCAACTTTTTTTGGAGCAATTTTTATGCTGGCAAAGATATCAGGATATCACTTCCAAGCCTTACCTGGGCGCTTTTGGGTTGCTTAATATTCCAAACGTTATCATTGGCATCTTCGTCGTTCATCGAAGGTGAAGAAAAAACTTGGCACTATCTAGGTACGAGTGCATTAATTTTGCTGTACCTGCGAAGCTTCAGTAGAGACTTGTGGGATAACAAACCGGAAATGTGTGTCGGCAGCGCAGCATTATCGAAAATTTTATTTATGAAGATTTTAAAATCCCGCTATTCATTGCTAACGATTGCCGGCTTGGGAATTTTAGCACGTTTTAACCTTGTCGCATCTTACATTAATCAAGTAAATTCTAAGGCATTGTTAAGCTGTCTGTTTGCAACTGGTGCGTATAAACCATATTTCCAAGCGTCTCACATATTTATTGAACTTTAATTTTCATAGGACTTGCCCTATTTTCGTTGTGCCTACGCCAACAGGCACTCGTTCAAACCCGTAAAGAAGTTGTGGCTTATTCTTTAGCTGCAATGCTGATTTATTGCTATCGGGCTTCTAAAGGACGTGTTCTCTTTGTGTTTGACACAAGCTGTTGGTGAGTAACTAAAAAAAAAGCTGCCAGTGCCTTTTTAAAACTCTTTGATAAGTTGCCAAACGTTTTAAACTGATTCTATTCATCGTTATATAATTTCAGTGATAACATTATTCTGAATATATTTTGGCTCATTGTCGGTATTACCACTTGCCTTGGCTTATCAACTGTGATAGTAAACTCGAAACGACTGAACGGGTTCCGAACGCGCACCTACTCAACAGGTTGCAACAATATTCTACTTACTTCTTTACTTACGATTTCGCTACTGCTGCATAAACCGCACAACGCGGTTCTAGTCGCTTATGTGATATACACTCTTTCAATGACTTATGAGTTGTGTGACAGATTAGATATAATTCTACGTACACACAAGCTCTTAGCAAAAGTCCTGTGTACTATATTTGTCGCAAATATGTTCTACTTTTATCAGGTAAGTGGCTTACATAGCTTTTCATATTTACGAATTAAATTTTTTCAGGGCAATTCAAATAGTTTTGCTACTATTGATCTTAATCCTGGTTACGTTGGTCAAACTGCATATAATCCAATCATTGTGGGCATCCTTGTAACACTCAATATGTACTCTGCTCAATTTATTGCATTTCTGTATTTCATTATGCATATTTTGC